AGTGGCGGGAACGCGACGAATTTTATGTGAGAATAGTGCTACGTGTGATAGAGTGATAAGTGATACGTGTTCAATTTTAATAATTATTCAGTGTATTCAGACGTGTTTAAGAAAGTGTAAAAAAACAGAAAACGTAGACCGAGTTAGCTTTACGGAGAATAGGTTATCTGTACAAAAATAGTACAGATTTCAGATTCTCTTGAAGCACTTTGATCTTAGCTTTCTGTTACAGTTATTTGGAGAGATTTTAAAAGGCGAAAAAAATGTGTGCTCAAAAATCAAGCGGATGGTGTGTCGTAAAGGACTGTAATAAAAATATTGTGGAAAAACGACACTTTTTTCGGTTTCCAAAGGAACATGACAGGTACAACTTTTTATTTCATTTATTTTCTAAGACACATACGAATTTATTGTATATTATGCTATATATTAACATATATTTGGAATATTCAATATTTTTTAATTTCTGTATACAACATATATATATATACCATAACATATATATATATAACATATATATAACATATATATATGTATATGTGTAGATATATATATCTATTATTTTTTTATCTATATTTTATTTGTATTTACAATAACCAATATAATAATATTTATATAGATGGTTGCAATGGATACGTGCGTGTGAAAGATTAGATTTAGAAGCAAGTGGAGCAGAATATGCCCATCGCATTTATAGATTGTGCCACTTACATTTTGAAGAAAAGTGGTACAATATAAGCAAGAGTAGAGCTATTCTTCATCCGGATGCAGTACCAACAAAATTATGAGAGAGAGAGAGAGAGAGAGAGAGAGAGAGAGAGAGAGAGAGAATATTCTTGCATTTCCTAATATCTGCGGTTACTATATTCAATATGAAAAAAATATAATAAATATAAGTAATTTTATTCGAGCCATATGATATTTCAAAATATGAAATACCACATTAATTATATATCCAAACAAAACAAGTCATCATTGTATCAAAATGATGTTAAAATTGTTCCAAAATGATCATTAAAAGTCATTTTTCAATCATTCTAATGTCATTTTGACTTTATTGTGACTTTCTGTTCTAATTGCGTATATATTATATTGTATACACAAGATATATGCTATACATACAATATTGCTGTACAATTAGTTAATAATAATATATTTTGTGGGTATATTTAATTGCAAAATATAGTGTTATAAAATAAATGTGCATTATATATGTTTAATTTTTATTTTATTTTCTCTTTCAAATGCGTCTCGTTTTTCACTGTGAGTATTAAATATTTATATAGTGTACGAGAACTATAGATTTCTGTATTCGCTGTGAATAATGGAATAAATTAAGAAAATTTTATAAAAGTTACTTGTTAGTACGCGTATTAAATGTTCAAATGTGCAAATTAGGTTAGGACATTGCTAGAACATAAATTAGAAAGAGAGAAAAGGTTATAAACAGAGAGCAGAAGTGAGATAGAATACAGTGCCCTGATTGGTTACGCGCCTCGGCCGCGAATGCGCACTCCATTTTAGGCTTCACTAACATCAAAGGTGCCGACAGAGAGTTGCGCTACTGTATATACTGTGCTATTATACTAACGATTTGCTTTATAAAGAAAGCTAGCTATGTGTTGCTATTGTATCGAGCTGCTCAAAGCAGTTAATTATCAAATCAGTAAATTATCGAGTCAACAAGGAACTAGGAGAGTTCCTCTGAATTAGATTCAACCGCTAGTCTGTGAATGGAATCTGCCTTACAAGCTTTCCATTTATTGGTCAAGTTAGAGTCAGTAATTATTCCTGATTATTGGTAAGTGCCTTTGTTTTCGTTTTGTCTCCCACTGAACATGTTTCGAGAATTAAAGTTTACTCGGTCAAGGATCGGAAGTATTTTTTATCACTTAGAGCGACTAGCCCAATGTTTACGTCTGTTTCATATAACATCTCAGATACCTCTCATAGGAGTGGGTGAGATCAATATATTGAGACTAAAGGAAAGATCTCCTGTTAACTTCATGTTAAATTGTCATTTTAATGTTTCATGCTAGTGCAGATTCTGGTAAAACGTACAGCTGTTTTATTATTTGTCTCATTTAAAGGAAAGATTATGACCGCACTTAAAAGAGTTAGAAGTCGTGTCTCCCAAGCCCTGTTTATTAAGTTAAATTTGATATCAGTTTTGCCATATATTTACAGTCAAACTTTGAAGAGAAAGTATTATTGAGGGACTTGTTGGTTTTCCAATCATGTAACTTATTAAAGTGGACTGTATTGTTTCAAGGTTTATTTAACCTCAAGTAGCTTTAGCTAATGGTTATAAATCACAAGTCTCAGTTTGGATGATTGCTATAAGTGCATTTATAAATTTTGGGAGCTTGATGAAGTATTTCAGACTGCTTTCTTTCTTATGATGATCAAGTTTATGAAGACTAAGTTATGTTTACTCATACTCGCAATAACGAAGGTCGATTTGTTGTACGACTTCCTTGAAGAAATCTGTCGATCATTTTGAAGATCCCTGACCATGATGTACAATTGACGCTTAAGTTATCTAATAGACTGTCTACGGACCTTGACTATGTCAAATTGTATTCAGAATTTCTAACCAAATGTTAACAGTTTAACTATATGAGAGTAGTTTCGAAACCTTCGCTTGAATCTTATGGTGTATATTCACTGTTACATCACGGAAGTGAAAAAAAACGTTGTCCAACTGCCGGGCTGCTTATTGTATTTACCAGATTGAGTCCTACAACTCATTACTTGTTGCCTGCTGTGGCTGAACTACTGTCAGACTTGTTCGGTTTCTTAGTGTAATTCCGACGATTTGGATATGGTTTCTTATACAAGATTAAGAGGATGTAGTGTCACATGGACATTCATTCACACGATTATAAGTTTCACAGAGTTTATGGCGTGATTAGTCACCCAACTTAAGAGCATAGCAATTGGCTACTATTGCTTGTGGCTTAGCTTTTCCCCCTCTTCTAGCATTACTCGCTGTTTAGCAGTTCTTACGTGATAAGGGTTTTAAGTACCCACTAACAGTTTCTTATTTGCAAAAGGGAAATAAGTATTCGACCCCTTTGGAGGTGCAGACGGTGTCGAATGGGCTCGGGACGTTATCAGGTGGTCAAACCTGCTCTGCATGGCGGGCGGTTTTGAAATGTTGTTGAGTAAACAGATAATAGTCCGCTAGCCATTCCGACCTACCTGTCTTAAATCCCTGAGGAGGAACAGATATCCTCATTGTCACTTGATTATGATAATGTCATTGTTGATTATACTCTCGGGCTTCATTGGGAACCGATAAGAGGTATTTCTCAATTCACGATTGGCTGTCATCCTAACAGTCAAGTTCCAAATAGAAAAGCTCTATCAATTAGTGATGAGTTCTTGATCGTTTAGGATTTTGTATCCTATCATTAGACTAGCTAAGATTGTTGTACCAGAGCTATGGTCGTTCGAGATCGATGGAGTGATCCCTTACCATCTCATCTGGCAACTCCATGGTATAACCTTGTAGAGACTCTACAACAGATATCTGGAGTTACTGTCCCTTGGGGTCCTGTTAAGTGAGCGTGCGCGCAAAAATCAAGTAAACTTTTCTGTCCATCTGTCATTAATGTGAATAACTTCAGAAAAGGAAGAAAGTCATTTACCAGGTTATATCCTTGGTCTATTAAGTTCACCTAAGACAGAAATGTATTGTACAAGTCATAATTGAAGCTATGAGGTTATATCGCCTATCTTCACTTGCTTTTGCCGTTGGGTAAAGACTCCTATACGGCTGCACAGCTTGTCTGTAATTGCATTGACTCTTGGGAGGCTGTCTTTGGCGGCCTTCAAGCCCCTGTGAGGCTGTGTAACTTATCGTCAAATGCAATTCTGTGGATCCAGTAGCTCACCTGAGACTGAGAGCCTAAAGGTACAATTTTGAGGCATTGTAGCCTTTCTGTAATGGCACTTGACCCCTAGAGTGGCCGCGTAGCCTATCTTAGTGGCACGCGAGCCCTGGTGTGATCTCGTAGCCTATCTTATTAACATGCGTGCCCTGGAGTGGCAGCGTAACCCATCTTGAATTGCATTCGAGCCCGTGTGTGGGGCTAGAAGCCACTTGAGGCTGAGAGCCTGAGAACCTGTTTGAGGCTGAGAGCCTAAGCATATTGTTGAGGCTGAAAGCCTATGGACATTGTTGAGGCTGAAAGCCTATGGATATTGTTGAGGCTGAACGCCTAAGAACTTTAAGAGGTTGTAGCCTATCTGTGGTGGCACTTAAGCACCTGTGTTGCTTTGTAGCCATCTGTAGTGGCAGTTGACCTCTGTAAGACTCTGTAACCTACCGTCTTGTAGTTGTGTGGGGCTAGAAGCCTCTTGAGGCTGAGAGCCTAGGAACCTGTTTAGGCTGAAAGCTTAAGAATTTTAAGAGGCTGTAGCCTATCCGTCGTAGCACTTGTACACTTGTGTTGTCTTGCAACCTCACAGTTGTTGGAATTTGGCTCTTTGGAGACCATTATCTAGCTTATTGTTCTGCTTAGCAGTCCGACTAGGATTTTGAGTCAGTTCCGTCTTAAAGGGAATGCGATCTATGCGTAAACCTTTGGCGTATGTGAACTAGAATCTATAGTTATGAGTTTGTGCTTCTTATGTCTGGATCATTATAATATCAGATATTTCTGGCTTCTATTGTTCTGATTAATGTTGTATCCTGAATTAAACTCATTGCATTTACTTAAAAGAAAGTAAGGATAACAAAATTTAATTCTCTTATTAGATATTTTGATTGTATCTAAGCTAGATTGACCTAGCGTGGACGCACGCTCAGTCAAGCATTGACCACACTTATTATAGCTGACGCCCATCATTAAGCATTACATAGAGGTACTCAAGTTACTCTATCAATTATCCTTACTGAGTACTGGATAGTTGGTAAGCGAATCCCTATTTGATCTTGGATCTTAAAATGTATTAAATGCACTCGCTTTCGTCGGCAGCGAGCTCAGCAATTGATGGGACAACTTCCCTCTAAGCGCATCACCTCTTCTCGTTCTTTTACTCACACCGGCATTGACTATGCTGGCCCTTTTTTGACAAAGACTTGGAAAGGTAAAAATGCACGCACTTATAAATCCTATGTTGCTTTATTTGTGTATTTTGCTACCTCAGCTGTTCACTTGGAATTAGTCACTGACTATTCTTCTGATGCCTTTATAGCTGTATATAAGAGATTTGTATCAAGACGCGGAATTTGTACCACGTTAACCAGTGACTGCGGCACCACGCTCAAAGGAGCAGATTCAGAATTAAAACGGCTTTTCTCGCAAGCTCGTCAAGAGTCTTCCACGTTAGCCATCCTGTTAGCTAACAATGGTACTCAATGGCGCTTCAATCCCCCTTCCGCCCCTCACTTTGGAGGTAAATGGGAAGCGGGAGTCAAATCTATGAAGCACCACCTCATCCGTGTAGTCGGCAACTCTACCTTCACATATGAGGAAATGAGCACTCTCTTGGCTCAAATTGAAGCGGTGATGAATTCCCGACCATTGGGCCCGTTAACTGAGGACCCAGACAACCTCAATGTATTACCAGGACACTTCCTCATGGGGTGTGCTCCTTTGACAGTTTCCGAACTTTGTCTTGAGTTGATCAAAGCCGTTAGGTTGTCGCGATGGCAACTTATTCAAAAGACTTTTGAGTCATTCTGGTCTAGATGGTCTCAAGAATGCTTACAAAGGTGTTACGCCTGTTATAAGTGGAATCGAGTTACTCCCTCTCTCCAAGTAGGAGCCATCGTCCTCGTCATCGACGAACGTTACCCACCGACTAAATGGCCCTTGGGGCGTATCATTGCCATACATCCAGGGCAGAATGGCCATACCAGACTAGTTACTGTTAAAACGCAAACGTCAGTCTTGAAACGGCCAGTAGTCAAACTCTGCCCATTGCCTGTTATGCACGACTCCCCGCAAGTTGTTCATTAATAGCAGATAATGAAGGCGGGCGGAATGTTTAAAGTTAAAGGTCGTGCGCACGGCAGTATGTATATGTTGTTGGTCGGTAACTCGACGACCGCCATAATCGATTAACTAGGTAATGCTCGAGAAGACCGAGCGAGGCGCTGAATGCCTCTCTTTCTTTGTTTTCGCTTCTTCTTCGTGTGGTCGTTGCACGATTCTCAGCCATCTTGTGAAAAGGCCGGCCGGCGCTTCGTTGCTTGTGTTTCCTTTGTGATAAATACGTTCTCGGTTGAACGTTGATTGATTGATAATCTTCTCGTGGAGCTTTAGCTCGTGTGAGGCTCTGAGCCTATGTAATTGTAATGTGAGGCTGTGAGCCTAATCGCTATATTCTAGCACAAGAGATATTAAGAATCTTCTCGAAGATCGCGAAGAGTACGTTCTACGAGGTAGAAGTACAACGATCCCACATTGGTGGGCGTAAGCATTGTATACTCCAGGTACTTGTGAGAAAAAGAGATAAAGAAGAACTCGATTGAGTTCACGTAAGAGTTGAAGGCTAAACGCCGAGGTTACAATTCACGGTAATTTCCGTGGATATATTTGCGGCTGGAAGCCTATTAAGATCACCGATCACTTGTAAGTAATTTATTTTCAGTTATTCTCATTTCTGTAACCTCTGTCAACGTACATCTGTGCCGTCTACCGGAAGGAAACTACTTCTGTGTACTGAATCAGGAACGATTGTGATATGTCTTTGCTGTTTTACTTATAGTTGATAATTATCTATCTTTAAATTCACTGTTCGTTTATACAATTTTGTTTATTGACATATCTTATATAACCATAAATTCACTTGTTATTAATAATTATTATCGTGAAGAAGGATTGTTCTGATAATCAATTTCGTAATAACATTATACCAAAAAAATCTATTACATATAATCAAATACGCCAATAAACGTAATTTTTGAAAAAAATGATTGAAATTATTTAAATTATTTATATATTTTGCAGGTATACAATTTAGAAGTAATTGATCAAAATGGTATTCAATTGGGAGGAGGAAATACCATAAAACGATAATAATATAAAGATATTAGAGCGATCCGAGTACATTGAAAGTTCTTGATGCCAGTGCTATAATCTTGAATGTGACTAATACAAAGTTCGTCGACAATAATGTTGCCCTAAATAAAAGTACATTAAATTCTGAAGGTAATATAATGCAACCGACAATTTTAACGTTAGAAAACAGATTGATATATTATTGAAGGTGCCAGTTTAAAGTGAACATTCATAAAATGTATATCCTTTTGTTGCATATATACGTAATAATGATCTAACAACACATGCACACTAGATGTTTATAATAGTAATGTTAAATCATTATTATTAGGTATATATGCTGCAAAAGAATATACACTTTATGTATGTTTACTTTGAAATGGCACCTTCAATAATATATGAGTCATTTTTCATGGTAACATGTATAATAGTATTTTTTATATACATATTCATTTCCATTTCATTATCTTTCAATAATAATACAAAAAACTATTATAGTTTGATATCTCTCACCTAGAACACTATATTTGATTCGAGATTTTGGAGTGTAAGTTAACCAGTTTTCAATTACGTATATCTTCATAAGTATATGTTTACAAATTATTATTCTAATTAATAATTAATATCGTGATAAGGATTGTTCTGATTATACCAAAAAAATTTACGTTTATTAGCATATTTGATTATACGTATGTGATATTTTGACATTGGAATAAATACACTAATAAACGTAATAAGTCTTTTGGTATAATGTTATTACGAAATTGATTAATAGAACAATCGTTCTTCACAATATTAATTATGAATTAGAATAATATTTTAAAAATGTATACTTTATGAAGATACACGTAATTGCAAACTATAACTCACACACATGTGCTTTATCTTGAATCAAATATAGTGTCCTAGAGATCGAAATAACAGCTTTTTTCAAAAATAAAATACAAAAGATGAGTATTATTTTCAAAAGAATTCTTATGCGCTCCACAATTTTGAATTAAATATAGTGTTCTAGGTGAGAGATCGAAATAACAGTTTTTTATATTTCAAAGACGAATCACAAAAGATCAGTATTAATTTTAATAGAATTCTTATACCAAATTGTCTATTTTAACGTAATACATTTTATTACTGAAAGATAATGAAATGGAAATTAATATGTATTAGGGTGGCGCAAGAAAAAAAAATTTCTGAATTTTGACAAGCATACATCAAAAGTAGGTTCAGTACATGAAAAAAAGTACTCTCAATTTTTTTTAGATTTTTCGGACAATATTTAGAGGTCGCTGTTTTTGTTTAAAGGTCGTTTGATGTAATAAATGACAATGAATTGATATAGTACGTACTGTATACGATAAATGATAACTGATTATTTTTTTTTATAAAATAGACATTCTCACGTACATTTTGAGAGGTCGAGAACCTATTTTGGTTTAGTAGAATAAAAGATATGATTTCTTAAATTTTATTTTTTAACACTTTTGATTAATAATATGTCTGTACGTTATCTAAAAAAAATCTAACTTTTATATTTTGACGACTTTTATATTTTGTGCACTAAGCATAACATATCACAGTTATTTTCTAGAAAATTGTAATCTGCAAATTGTAATGCTTCACTTATTATATATACGTATCTATGTATGTTCATTTTTATTATTAAATTTGAATAATATACACTCTTTTTATATGTTCACTTTGAACTGGCGCCTTTAATAATATATCAGTTACTTCTCATGGTAATTTATTAATTATTGGAGGAATAAATGTGTTTGAATTAATTATGATATAATTTTTTTAAAGAAGAATTAATCTACTTGGGTTGGAATAGGAAGATCTTTCAATATTTATTTTTGTAAAGAAGATTTAAACCATTTGGATTGAAATAGAAAGAACTTTCAATAAGAATAAGAAGACATATATGGTACTTAGGTTTCATTGTATATGAAGAAAGATAAAGATAATACTACATGGATTTTACTATTTAATTAATTAGAATTTAATAAGAATAGTACCACATGGGTTTTTAAAGATATTAATTAGAATTTAACTTGGCGCCAACTATTAATATCAGATCTTTTATACAAATGATACATGTCATTATATGAGGATAAAGATAGTACTACATGGATTTCATAGAATAACTTGGCGCCGACTATTGATATCAGATCTTTTATACAAATGATACATGTCATTATATGCTGACAAAGATAGTACTACATGGGTTTTACTATTTATTTTTTTTTAAGAAGAATTAAACCATTTGGATTGAAATAGAAAGATCTTTCAATAAGAATAAGAACTACATAGGTTTTACTATATAATTTAGTAGAATTTAATAAAAATAGTATCACATGGGTTTTCAAAGATCTTTTATATAAATGATACATGTCATTAGATCTAAGTTACATCTTGGTCTAGGTTACATCTTGATCTATTAAACAGCAAATATGATTAGTTGGTTCTACAGCTGATTAAGTAATTGGCGGTGGTGAAACTGGCCCAAACAGTTTTTTATCAATACCACGCACCCTTAGGGCATGTTTTACCTTTTTTTTAGTAAAATAAAAAAAGGTAAGTTCATATACAATTGTAGAATCTAGGTTATATCTTGGTCTACTAAACAGGATAAGGATTACACCACGTAGGTTTTTAAATTCTACTAAACAGCAAATATGATTAGTCAATTCCGATTATGTAATTGAGGTTGGTGTAAGTCTACTAAACATAAGAGAGGATAACATCACGTAAGTTTTTATAAAAAATTAACCTTGGCATACATAATGTGGTATTCAAGTACATGTTCGTGCTAGTATTAGTCAAATCAGACGTAAAGTTGGGTTTTTATTTACGCGGGAGAAATTATACGTTCTAATTACTACGATGTACCGTTTACTTTTTCTTTTATTAGACGTAATTTTGGCATTCATACTTGTGATTTTTTGAAAAATTATGTAATCTTGTAAAACTGAGCATTAATATTGGCCATTGGGGTCCGTATAAAATTCATTATTTCTTGTCTAAAATTTTAACTGGTTCCTCCGCATTTACAATATTTGACTAAACATGATAATTTCTCACTATATATTCTTTTATAATAGATTTCGAAAACTTCAATTAAATTATGTAAATATAAAAAATGATGATACCAAATGACTCGTATTGATAATAATCAAAGGAAGAGACGTGCCAAATCGAGTATTGTACACCGGATGTTGATGTGTGTAAAACTTTGATTTATTGTATATGTACAGATTTTTCTTACGTTTTGATCCACAGTTTGGATCATTTTCAAAGAACTTCTATTACAATATAAGAATTGTGCTACCTAGAACACTATATGGTTAGAATTAATATAATGATTAAAAGAGACTTGCATAAAGTTGTTATCAGATAATAAAACAAGGTCAATTAATTTATATAGTCGAGAATAAGAAATATAAAGTAAAATATTAAGATTACTAGAGTGATTATAAATATATATTTGAGAATAACATTGTGATTAGGTAACTTTAAAAGTGAATATTAAGACTAATAATAAAAATAATTATAAGTATGAAAGTATAACTGCTAAATACAATAATATGAGATATATGTGTGAGACTGCATAAATGTTATTATGTTAATAATATAAATGTTAAATCGTGAAATTGGTGTGAAAGTCAATTAATAATTGATATAAATAGATATGATTATGTTTAAATATTTATGCAAAAACACTTACATGTTATAATTTAGAAGTAACAGATTGTATCGTTCTGGTCAAATGTTCATGTGCTAATGTGACTTTTAACAATCGTTGTCATAGAAAATTAAAAACATTAAAAATATGGAAATCAAATATGAGAAAGTAAACAATCATATGTTTTGTCAAGGAGTTCTGTGTTGTAGCCCGCGAGTGCTACCACAATTAAGTCTCGCATTTCAGCCTAGCAACGAGCTGGCGGAAATGCAAG